AATAATGCATCTCATAATCTTTTACTGCAGTTATATCTGATCAAATGCACATTATTATTCTTTAGTTTGGGTTAAATAAATAAATTTAGCTTGGTTGGAACAGCAGCTATGCTAAGTATGTCTCTATTTGTTTCTCTGTTTTTGCCACGGGATTCACACGTTTCACGCTTGAGGTATTCGGCCAATCACAACGCACTGGATAGCTGGCCAATCAGAGCACACCTTGCTTTTCAGACCGATGAGCTTTGTAAAAATCGACGAAAGGCGGGGCATAGAGGAGAAACAATAATGTACAGTATGTGGAAAATAATGTTTTTTTTTACCTTAAACCACATAAACACATTTCATTACACCAAATACACAAAATAATGTTCTTTTTAGCAACATCATATGACCCCTTTAAAGAGTCTTAAAATACTAGAAATCTGGTTGTCTGTGGTAGGAGCATTGAGTCGCGCGTCTGTCTAGCTTGCCGCCATGTTAGAACCCCCTAGCACCTCTTTTTACTTTGAGATTGTTAAATACAGATTTAAAATTGTAACAAGATAGTTTAATAGCTATGATATTGTTTTTGAAATCAAATCTTTGCATAGTTATGACAGGAAAGACTGGTATCTCACAATGCCTTGGAAAGAAAAACAGTTAATTAAAAAAAATAAAGCATATACATAAACCCAAATAGGAAATAAAAGAGTTATCAAATAAACGTGTACTGTTTCATATTTTAGAGCAGTTTAGATGCAATTTTGGAAAGAAATCTATCAAATCTGTATGTGTGTGAAAATATTCAGATGTAACCCCCTTTGTAATCATTAACATTTTCATAAGTAACTGTAATTTAATTACACATTTTCATAAGTAACTGTAACAGATAATAGTTACATTTATTTTATAATTAAATTATGTAACTCTATTACATGTAACTAGTTACTCCCCAACAGTGGAAACATTATATTTCAGAATCAGATGTTTTACGATGATACTGTAAGAATAAATGAAAGAAAAAATGAGTTGTTTATTGCAGCATAGCAGTGTCAATGTACATTTAGTACCTTGAATTCAACAGAGTCAGAATGAACCCCCTAACATCCTAAACTCAAACCATTGTTTTATACAGTTACAGTTTACTACCCTTAATGTAAATGAAGTTGCACCTGTCGTAACAGCTGTGGTCTGTATGTTAATGAAGTTCTGACACCCCATTGTCTGAGATGGTTCTCGGTGTCCCACACCTATTCCCATTCTACAATTGGTCACCATTTGCTCAGGATGTGAATTTTTATCTCACAATTCTGACTTTTCTCTCACAATTGTGAGTTTACATCTTGCAATTCAGGCCTTTTTCTCAGAATTTTAAGATATAAACTCGCAGTTCTGAGAAATAAAAGTCACAACTGCAAGATTTTATTGAGAGTTTATATCTCACAATTCTGATTTTGTAACTCGCAATTGTGAGTTTATATCACACAATTCTGAAAAAAAACGTTAGTATGGTGAGAAAAAAGTGAGAATTATGAGATAAAATTCTCAATTACCTTTTTTTGTTTTTATTCATTGGTGGAAACAGACTTCCATAGAAACTTGACTCATCCCATCACTCTCAAGTAATATGGAGAATACTATTATTCCTAAAAACCAGAAGAACTCACAATAATATATGAGAAGGTTTGACAAACCTTCTCATATATTATTGTGAGTTCTTCTGGTTTTTAGGAATAATAGTATTCTCCATATTACTTGAGAGTGATGGGATGAGTCAAGTTTCTATGGAAGTCTGTTTCCACCAATGAATAAAAACAAAAAAAGGTAATTGAGAATTTTATCTCATAATTCTCACTTTTTTCTCACCATACTAACGTTTTTTTTCAGAATTGTGTGATATAAACTCACAATTGCGAGTTACAAAATCAGAATTGTGAGATATAAACTCTCAATAAAATCTTGCAGTTGTGACTTTTATTTCTCAGAACTGCGAGTTTATATCTTAAAATTCTGAGAAAAAGGCCTGAATTGCAAGATGTAAACTCACAATTGTGAGAGAAAAGTCAGAATTGTGAGATAAAAATTCACATCCTGAGCAAATGGTGACCAATTGTAGAATGGGAATAGGTGTGGGACACCGAGAACCATCTCAGACAATGGGGTGTCAGAACTTCATTAACATACAGACCACAGCTGTTACGACAGGTGCAACTTCATTTACATTAAGGGTAGTAAACTGTAACTGTATAAAACAATGGTTTGAGTTTAGGATGTTAGGGGGTTCATTCTGACTCTGTTGAATTCAAGGTACTAAATGTACATTGACACTGCTATGCTGCAATAAACTCAAACCATTGTTTTATACAGTTACAGTTTACTACCCTTAATGTAACTGTATAA